GGGTGTGCGATAGACTTACCTCCACGTGGTGCACCCTGGACAACATATACTCATACTGCAATAGAGTCTATTAACTGGCAGTTGACTTCTGACTTCAAGCTATCATCACCCCACTGTAAGTCATATTCGACTACTTCCACAGCACTCACCTCACCTTACCTTTTCTACCTTTGTGTCAGTCTGTCTCTTTTACATCTTTGAAACACTCTTTTTTTCCCCCTTTCCCTTCGATTTTTTTCACTTTGATGTTCCTTCCCCTCTGTGAAGCCTGAAGTCAACTAAAGGGCTAATGATAACTATCAAAACACCTCCCATTTGATATAAACAAATAAATATTGGGGAAGGATTGGTGGCGAAAACGTGGGTAAGAAATTCCACAGGCTACAGTTGGGACAACACGAAAAGAGAGAAAATTTGCATTTTTTGAATATCTGATGCACTCAGGACTGTGTGATGGCATTGTGAGAAAGTACTGTCCAGCATATAAAACAAAAACGCTTTGGCTTTGAGTATTCTCGAAGAATAAAACTGATAAGATGTAGTGGTGATGGAGATTGGAATTTAAGGAAAGAGGGGGCGTGACGGATCTGCAATCGCGCCATAGAAGTATTTATCCCATGTCTAAACTTTCAAATATGGGGGCGCGCAATAGACTTACCTCCATGTGGTGCACCCTGGGCAACGTATACTTATACGGCAAAAAAGTCTATTAACCGGCAGTTGACTTCTGACTTCAAACTACTATGGCCCGACTATTTGCCATATTCGACCCCTTCCACAGTACTCATCTAGCCATTTTTATGCCTTTGTGTCTGTCTGTCTCTTTTACCTCTGTGAATCATTATTCTGTCTCCCATCTCGACTTTTTGTCACTTTAATGTTCTTTCTCCTCTCTGTGAAGCCCCGAAGTCAGCTCCAGGGCTAATGATAACTTTCAAAACCCCTGCCATTTAATATAAATACTTTCAAATATGCTATTTCATCTCCCCCTTCCTCTAATTTTATTTTCTAGTTAACAAGACCAAGTCGGTTGAAAAAGCACTAATACGGATGTTAATTGCTCGATATCAAAAATTCGGTGTCGTTGGTCGACCGGTTAGTGACAACAAGCAAGTTCTCCTGGTACGCTATGGACTTCAGCTCATTCAGATCTTGGAACTTGATGAAAATAAGCAGATCCTGCATACCAACTGCTGGTCTATGTATGTAAGTATTAACAATTTGGTATAATTACGAATTACGCCCTCTTGTCTGTAGTCATGGGGATAGGAGTTGGGAATGAGGTCGAAAGAAATAGCACATAATGTCACCTACTCATAGAAGTGCACGTGCCCATTTAACCAGTCGATCGATATACATACCACGGAAACAATTTCTCAGTGTCAGGGTGCAGAAGTAGGAAGATCTGAAGCTAAAATGTCGATCCCCTTCCTTGCTTCATTCATTTTGGAAACATGCCTTTCATTAATTGGACCTGAAATATTTGAGATGACTGTCCACTTATTTCACAGGATACATCAATCTATTCGTTGCAAAGCCTGATCTGTTCTCAGGGTCTCTAGCACATCTCACTCTCCTTCTTACCGAAACATTCTTAAATACCAACACAAATGATGAGATAACGTAGGAAGTTGACACAAAAAAGGAGAAAAGATGAGAAGAGTTTGTTCATGGAGAGCTTGTTCACAAGAGAATCTGACCTAAAAAGCATTACGATAAGAGAGTATTGATTAATGGAAAAACAGGGGTCACATCCCCTGCAGACTTCCAGTTTGGATATCGACATTAGTTAGTTGTAAGCCGACAACCCGGGTGAGCCATTATCTCGACTCAGAACCTTCAAAAACCAGCTCCAAGTGTGGTCAGAAGGGAGAATTCGATGAAGGGAGAGAGGCTGAATATGTCTTTCCTGTAGATATAAGAGTGAGCCCAGTACAATAGGCCAAATAACTTGCATAGTTGACACCACTCCCTAATCGATGATCCGATAACTACCAATAAATGGCAAATAGGATAGTAGTATCGGGACAAAAGACGTGGTGTGTGTATAGATATTAATAATTAAAGGTGATAATATGTTATAGCGCACACCTTTGCAGACTTTTTACACCTCTATTGGCAATGGATGTTTAACCAATTAAAAAAGGTCCCGGAGGCACTCACTCATTTTCCCCTTCTAGAAATGGAATGATACACTACTACAATGGAACCCTGCAGAGCATGGAAATATCACAGAGGTCCGCATCTTCCCCTCGCAAGTCTGGACGCCGGACATCCAGCTCTTTAACTTGTGAGTCTTAGCTTAGTATTCTATTGGAACTTGATGAATGCACTTAATCACTATTGTCACCCTACCATTAACCGTTTAGGTTATATCGATTTTCTCAAATTCAGACTTATGAAATGGAAGCCGAATTTGATTGGTTGATTGATTGATTATAGAAGTAACTAGAAGTAAGGTATGCGGTCATTTGTTTATTTATTTATTTCAAATGGCAGGCGTTATGATAGGTATCACTAACCCTTTAGTTGACTTCAGGCTTCACAGAAAAGAAGATAAACAGTAAAGTGGCAAAACGTCGAGAGGGGGACAGAATAATGATTCACAGACGTAAAAGAGACAGACAGACACAAAGGTAGAAAAAGGTGAGGTGAGTACTGTGAAATTATTCGAATATGAAATGCAGTGGGGTCTTGGTAGTTTGAAGTCAGAAGTCAACTGCCGAATAATAGACTTTTTTGCCGTATGAGTTTACGTTGCCCAGGGTGCACCACGTGGAAGTAAGTCTATCGCACACCCCGGAATGTGGTCATATAGGTGCCTGAAAATGTTGAGATAATGAAAGAGGATGCACGGACCGATCATCACCAACATTGGTGAGTTGAGCCTTTCAGTCAAACACTCTTCAAACATGTGCTTTATAAATACTTTTTCACTATTTTTAAAGCTTTAGGTGAGTAATGATAGCAATACTGGATGATGGCTATACCCCATCAATAATTTAATTATAGTAAATTGCAGGGTTTATGATAGTTATCATTAGCCCTTTTGTTGGCTTTGGGCTTCACAGAGGGGAGGAATATCAAAGTCACAAAAAGTCGAGAGGGGGAACAGAAGAATAATTCACAAATGTAAAAGAGACAGACAGATATAAAGGAAGAGAAAAAAGGTGAGATGAGTACCGTGAAAGTGGTGGAATATGGCATACAGTGGGGTCAGGGGAGTTTGAAGTCAAAAGTCAACTGCTGGTTTATAGATTTTATTTACCATTTGAGTATTCATTGCCCAAGGTGCACCACGTGGAGGTAAGTCAGTCGCGCACCCCACCAGTCAATAATAGACTGCCCGATTTCTTGTGTTTAGACGTTTTCCTTCGGTTTCGTCTTCATATTAAGTTTATCAAATAACTATTCGCCTCACTATATATATATATATATGCTGTTCTTTTTTTTATTTTGGAAATAGTCTATTTCACCTTTAAGTTCATTTGTTTTGGCAATTAGTTCTTACTTTATCATTGTAGTGTTGACGAACGTATTCAAGAGCATCGAATTGCTCGAGTGGTCGTGCATGCAGATGGAAGTATTTTGTGGGTGCCTCAAGCTCTTTTCAAAAGTGCCTGTCAAGTCGAAATCACCTACTTTCCCTACGATACTCAGGTGAGTTTTAAGCTCATTTTTTAAAAAAAATTGCCTCTTTTATTCCCTAAACACTATTTGACCAAGGATGTCTTAAAACAAAAGGAAGGAGTTTGATCAACAGAACAATTTTCATTAAAGAATGACAATTGTTTAGTGAAGGAGATTAAACCAGTACCATGCAAACTCATTGTTGACCATTCCTACTTCAGATAGATTTGTGCTAGTCTCTCGTGGGCTTTGTTCCACCTTTACCAAATTATCGATTATTGGGTTTGCGTGCTTATGAATAGAATTTCAAAATCGCCTCTGCTATCATTATTGAATAAGGGCAAAGCCAATAAACGGAAACACCAAAATGTTCTCCACTTGAATTTCATGAAACTTTTATGAAGAGATGGGAATGTAATGCCAGAACTCTGGTTAAATTTAAGTCAGTCATTTTATCTGCTCTTTACTGGATAATGTCGGTTATTAACTCCGTGGAAAATTTTGATTACACGCCCAATTATCTTACATAATTTTGTATTCGTTTTAAGGTGTGTACTCTGGAATTCGGATCTTGGACCTACGATCGAACACAGCTAGAGTTGGATTGGTGGATAAGCACTCTGTCTCCTGAGCCAACACCGTACGTCGATTTTATTGATTACGTGCCAAGTAACGAATGGAAAACTGACGGTGAGAAGGAAAAAGACGTCATTCACACCAATCGTACTAGGCAGGTTAGATCAATCGCATTTCACCTAATTACGCATTGATCCAGTAAATATAGTGTCGAGTGTTATTCAATCAAGGATTCGGAAGTTTTTCAATCCCAATTCCATTGAAGGAGATTAATTGCCAAGTTCAACTCTTGGGAAACGAAGTGTTAACAAGAGTTCACCCTGGGGAGCGATTCGCATTTCACCTCTACTCTAGTCTTCCATGGGGCTAACACTAAAATCGATTAAGACGTGAAAAGTGCAATGGGCCCATATTGATTTACAAATTCGTTTGTTGATGAGCCAAAAGTCATCTGTTTAGAGCATAGCCATACCATCAGAGGATTCGGAGTCATTGTAGAGAACTACTGCATTATCCGCAAGTGTTTCTCATCTCATGCTTAATAAATAAGCAGTCGGTATAATGTGGGGTTGTGGTTGATTGGTGATGCACGTTTTTTCTTGCAGATAAAATCAACCATAATGTTGAAAGAGCGAAATCAGACCGAAGGTAATGTGATCATCACGAAGAAGTATACCGTTCTGTGCTACAAGATCCGACTACATCGAGAATCCAGCTTCTACACTTTCATTCTGGTCGTGCCATGTCTCCTTCTCTCCTCTTTAACGATTGTTGTTTTCTGGCTCCCACCTGAATCGCCTGCCAAAATGATGCTCGGTATGGATTAAAAGAAAGCATTGTGATTTTGCTTTAATAATAAATGACATAAGTATGAAATATAATTGCGCTTATATTTAAATAAAGGTAATACATAATTTAATAGTAATGTAATAATAAGCAAAAAATTAGCTTAATTTGTTAATTTAATTTTATTATAATTAAATTTTCGCATTCTCTTCTGATTCATTATGTTCCTTCAAATGACCACCATGTAGATGGTGATTTCTGTTATCTAATATACGTCGAATTTTCCTTTTGAAGTGCATTATTTACTGCTTTGAACCAGTCTTGACAAACTCCTTTGAGATTCCTCTATTCTAGACCAGGTAAATGTGTAGGCAATCAAATTTAGAATGGAGCTTTGCAATAGCATATATCATCTATTCACTCAAACTAGTTTAAATTGCTCGGTATAGTTTTACCCTTCTTTTAATCCAATAACCAATTATCTAGGTAGTGGAAATAACCGCCTTGGCGTCCATATGCAATGTTGAATAAAATATACCAAAATTCAGCTTTATCGATTAAATTAGTGCTGAGGTAAATTTAGGCGAAATCCTGGCTTATTGGCTATCGATTTGTGATTTTCATCGATCACAGTAAATCAATAAAAAAAATTATCATGTTATGATGGCGAAATTAAGCTCAATTCGAAAAGACGCACGTTTTTACTCCTCCCATGTATGAACATTATCGCGAGAAAGCAATAGGATAGAGGCACAATTTTTCCAGTAGGTTACATCTCATTTCCGAGTCATTCTGTTTGTCATATTTGAAAAGAGTATTGGAGACGTCACTACTTACCCTTTTAATTTACAAACGACGAAAGCCACTTTTAAAATTTTTTGCTTTTATTCTAGCCTAGATGCATTCAAGTACTTCAAAGAAGGGATGTATGTCCACTTCTTATTGCTAATCCAAATAAAAAGACCGATAAATCAATAAATTCTCTCCAGTTTCGAGTGAAAGCTACAACTCCAACATAAAATCTCAACATAAAATCGTGGCCTAAGAGCCAATCAGGTGTAAGGTGAATTAACATGAAGAAAATTGATGGTTGTTTGTGTTTAGCTCACCTACTCACCTTACCATCAATTACTTATCAAAATAATGCTTGCCTTTTTCGTGTAACCACTATAGGAATGAACATTTTCGTTACCTTCTTCCTCCTTCTACTCGTGTTGGCCGAACAGACACCAAACGCAGTCAAAGAGTTCCCTCTGATCGGTAAGTTTCTAGCACTAATGACTACGTTGAATTTAAAGCCCTCAAGAGTGAATTTTTATCGTAATTCTACCTCATTTCATTATACCCAAGGCGCGTACTTCTGCCTCAATATGATCATGATCACCTTGTCAACTTTTCTTGCAACACTCGTTATCCACTTCCACTATCGAGGAGCAAGAAATGGACCCCTTCCCGCAATTCTCCATCGTGTAAGTTCACAAAACGTCTTTAGAAGAAAGCAACATTTTTTGGCTAATTTGCTTGCCTCATTGATATTAAATGTACCTTCCTAGACATCGCAATTGATGCTTCGTTAATCATGCAATTAAGATCCATCTATGTCCACTTAGTAAAGAAAGCATTCAACTAAGAATAAACAACTTGAAACAATATGCATTTTGTCTGACAATAGGGCTTCTCTTCAAAATTAAGCCTAGTGAAGTAATATCAATCCTTTTCTATTCTAAAAAATATTACTTACACTGAGAAATAAGAATACGAGTTGTTAGGTGGGTAGATGTTGGAAATTAGGATAATTTTAGGAGGAGAAAGAAGTTGGGTGTGATTGACTCATAAATGAAGTCTCCGTCATCGATTCGTGATTGCAGTGTACTTTACGTGAGAGTTCACACCCACATACCAAAATAGATATCAATTTGAGCATTTATCCTTTCTTCTGATGCCCGGTCAATTAAAGGCACTCATTTCGACAGATCACTTATGCTTTAGAACACCGTATCGTCCTTTATCGCCTCTTTCTGGGCCCCAAATCGATGGCACTTTTGTTATCCTATTTTGTATATTTATGTCTACCACCCATTTGTTATTTTCCGCACTTATTATTAAAAAAATGTCACTTTACCTACGCCAATTTCGTAGTCTATGATGATTGCCAAATGTTTGGGGGGGGGCTAAATAAATCAATTAAAATTAGATTTAAAGTCATTTTTTCAAGCAGCACAATGCATATGCGTTGAAAATGAGTATTTGAGATACTTGGAAAAGCATTTTTCATTCTGTTAAGCGATTACTTCTACAGCATCTTCCATTTAGATGGCTGATATTTTTCAACTCTTGCTCAAGTCCTATTGCTTTCCAAATAATCAAGCGGTAAAGAATTTTATGGTCATATTGTTCAGTGAACAATGGACGCCAAGGCTACTAACTCATTTTGACGCCTGGTTACATGTTTCCCACCTTTCGGATTTACATCATGTTTGCCAAATCTTTGTGAATTTAGGCTTTACACACACTCCCTCCATCCCCTCCCCCCCCCCCCCCCCCTAGTGGATCAAACGCGAGATTATGAATGGGAAGCCGAAATTTGCACAATTGTTGTTGGAAGTGGCCGAGGATAAGGGAGGTCAGTCAATCAGCTTTTTTTGTTTTCACAAAACTGGAAGTGAACGTGAAGGCATGTAACAATCCCTGTGGGAGTCAGCCATCCCCCCCCCCTCCACCCCCACCCTTGCCTTGACCACTGTGTCTGTAGTGACCCCATCAACTTCAAGTAGACAGTTGTGCATCCGGAGGTTAGCCAAGCCATGTTGTATTGCATTCTGCCAGAAGCCATTGCACCCCCTTGACATTTAATACTCGTCAACTTGAGGTCTCAATGATAATGGTACTAATTTTCATGCTTGTGAACTGACCTATTCGTCATTTATCCTCATATCCGCATATTAAAAGGTCAATCAATTCTTTAAATGCAATTATAAAAAGGGGGAAAAACAACCTCAATTCATAATTTTTTCCAGAGTACGTGTCATACTCTCCAAATAAACAAATTAATGTCAATTAACCCCCCACGTCCGATCGTGGAAGCATTGGTTAGTCATTGTCGTTGCATTTCTAACTTGACGTTTTCTCTTGTCTCCACAACTGGCCAAGTTGTGTTAAAAACAAAGTTTGCAACAATTATGTTGGCAAATATGATGGTTGCCTCGTTATTTCATTTGTGTGTTTCTTTATCCCCTCCCCCCCCCCCACCACCACCCCCACCCCCACACCTAATATTCCCCGTTTCAACAAAAAAATCGAACAATTATTTGGCTATTTAAATTCGCCTACATGTAGCGGATCAAAATTCTAATTATTTATGATCGGCTATCTTTGATGGCTTCTATTCTAATATGCTATCACTTAGGCTTTAATTAAATTATGAATTACGCGGGAAATAGTAATTAATGCAGAATAACAAATCGTGAATATATTCATTTAGTTTTCTACTTCATGAAATTGTGTTGAGCCATCGTTGGCTTAATTACTAATAGTAAAAATATCTTTTTTTTCAATTTATTAAAAATTGACGTGTATTTGGAAATTTTCAAATCAGACTTTGTGAATAAACTTTATGTAGACTTTTTATACCAGTTATGGGGTTCACTTTTTTTCCTTAATTACGTAGGATCGCAAGTGGGAGAAGATTAAAAGTATCTAACTGCTGCATGAATCACATTGTGTTTAGTGCGATTGTGCAATTTTCGAAGTTGCATAAGTGCGTGCGATGAAAGACAAAGAGAAAAGGATCAAAAGTTAGAAAAAAAAATAATTACAGTAGAAGTGTAATAAGTTGTGGTCATTTGTCTCTTAGTTAATTGATTAGACTTGGCTGTGCCAGGATCTGACTTTCCCTATTCAAAGCTATTCCATCTGACCACTAAGTCTTTGATTTTGGGCTTTTGAATTTGCTGCGACTCTTGAGTTGATTTCAAGTGAGTGGAATAGCCAATCGTCCTGTCGGCCAACCCCCCCCCCTCCCCTCCTCCTCCTCCTCCTAACCTAAGTTGAGCGTTTGAAAGCGCTTTTCGAATTAACCGTTTGAGCACTTATCAAATGGCCCTAGAAACGGACCAGAGGAAAAAGTTGAGAAGGCGGTCACATTTATCACATTTCATCCATCTCTCCTGGTAGCTACTATTAGATGGGATGTCGGTGGGGCATTGTAGAATGTCTAACAGTTTCAATTGGCAACCGTTTGAGGTTGCCCTGGTTCACCCATTAAAAAATAACCCATCCAAATCACAGGAAGTCAGACGTTGACATTTATTGCACATCAGCATGCGAGAGAGAAGACAATACGCCGATATTGTAAGAGGTGAGCTGATTGTTCAAGTACCTGTAAGACGTATTACCATTTCGCAGTCGAGTAGTGCATGTCCAAGTATCTCGACTTTACATGATCTTCAACGCGGTAAAATGAAATTTGTTGACAGAGAATGTGCTGTAGAAGCAAATAAGGTGAGTATAGAGGGAGATTGAATCCCAGCAACATTTAGTTATTTCAAATGGCAGGCTTTATCATAATTATCATTACCCCTCACAGAGGGGAGGATTATCAAAGAAGCAGAAAGTCGAGGGGTGAGGAACAGAAAAATGATTCAAAGATGTAAAAGAGACAGACTGACACAAGGGTAGAAAAAGGTGAGGTGAGTACTGTGGAAGTGGTCGGATATGACATATAGTGGGGCTATAGTAGTTTGAAGTCAGAAGTCAACTGCCTATTAATAGACTTTTTTGCCCTATGAGTATCCATTGCCCAGGGTGCACCACGTGGAGGTAAGTCTATCGCA